CCCTTTTTATGGAAGCAAACAAACACCAAAGGGGAAAAAAGTTTGGCATTTCATTTGGCTTCAGCAAAATAGGATCCCGAAACTGGGTCATGAAACAAACCACAAACCAGCCCAGTTCATCAGGTTTTTTGGTTTGTGGTTTGTTTTGCATCCATCTCTAGTCACAACTAGAGTAGAACCATTTGAATCAACAGAACTTATGGAGGAGTTCACTCACCAAATCCCCAGTGATTCAGCTGGCCTACTTTAAGGGGGTTTTCTCTAGATTAGAGCTTTGTGGCACAGTGATTAAACTAAATTACTGCAATGAACCCTCTGCTCAAAACTTGAGTTTCATCCTAAGAAATTCAGGTAGCAGTCTCAAGGTTAACTCAGCCTTCCATCCTTCCAAGGTCAGTAAAATGAGAACTCAGATTGCTGTGAGGGCAAAGTACTGTTTGCATAATTACATTGCAAATTATCCACATTTAACACCATGGGATAGTATACAAGTCGAAACAACAACTATGCTAAACAACAGGATTTCAGCCTATCAGTTTATTTGAAGGGTAGAGCTACATGTTATAATGATCACATTTCTCTGCTTGGATGGGAGGACAGAGTGAATCTGGAAAGGTAAGTGGATTTAGCAACTGAAGTAGAGGCAATACAGGTTCCAGCATCACAATTATTTATCTGACAGAGTTTGTTTGCAAATTCCTCAGGCATTGTACATAATCAGCCGGGTAGGTGGGACTCGTCAGCCATGGAAGGCAGCCCATCTAGGAGAAGGAAAACTCTGATTTCAAACCTCCACTACCCTGTGGCTATACCCACTCATGGAAACGGCTTCGGGAGATAACCTCAAGGCAAAATCCGGAGCTGGAGTCCCACAGGCAGTTTATGATGTTTTGGCAACTCCTGCGACATTGCTGGAACCAGTTGTATTGGCTCTTGCCTTTCCATTGGACCATTTCAGCAACGTGGAGAGGGGGGATTTACTGCTTGGGTAACAGCCTATCCTCCATATTACCTTACCCAGGCTTCATGCTCTGGAGAGGACACTTCTCTATACAGAGCACGTTACCATAGTCTCTCAAGACTGAAGGATGCCTATGTACACAATCAATTCAACTGGTGGTTCTCAACCTGTGAGACTTGCACTACTGGGAGGGCACAGAAACAGTTTTAAAAAGGGCATAGGATTACTAAGAATTCACTCTCCCTTGGGGACCAGGTTCCTCTGCAAGTGTGACCTGCTGCCATCTCTTCAGCTATGTATATACCACGGCTTTGTCAACTGTGACATTTTAGCATACTAGTAGTAAGTTTGGACATTTCTTGTAAATACTAAATATGACATTGGAATGCCTATAAACATATAAAATGTTCTCCTCAGGAAAAGATAACTTTTTATTTTTACTAGTATGGCAACTTGCAAAGCTTTTTTTTAATTGTGTTTTTTTTAAATCACAAATGCGAGTTTTATATAAGAAAACAGCCCTAAAGTGGTAATACTGTACTTTGAAAAGACTTTATGTCCTAGAAATGTACCCCCAAAATTTGTGTTGGTCCAGATTCAAGGAGGGCTAATAACTTTCCAATGCCTTGTGGATATTTTATAAAACCACTTCTCTGTATAAAGTACAGAAGACAAAAGTAATTTACTTGCCATGTTTATCATATATGGAGTTGTTGAAATAATGAGCACCACAAAATTAAATTTACCATTGTCTCTATTGGTATGAAGGTTACATTCATAAACTTTGTTTATTTTAATAGGTTTGTTGTGCACTTGCAGACATATGCTATTACGGTGCAATGGATATGCTTTGGATATTTTTGTAATTGTGGGTAGTATAAAAGTCATTTTCTGTTAGATTGCACAAATCCATTACATTATGAGACAGATACATTATAGTAATAGGATTAATGTGCAACTCATAAACATGATCAGTAATATTCTTTGTGATAAATTATCTCATTTTAATCACTTGGAATGTGGAGAGATTTAAGGATAGTCCCAACTTTGATTTGCATAATTGTGTTACAGACAGACAAATTGCATTATATTCTTCATTAACAATAGATGGCTTGTATAACTATTGTATTTTGGAAGGCACTGCTTTTATGTTCATCCTGCAATTTGTCATTTGGTGGCATTACTGTGGAGTAGACTTTGGAGAGAAGGGAAACTAAAAGATTACTTGATTTTAGCTGAGTTCAATAATATCTTTGCATTCAACTGCAATGTAGTAAGCTATTGTTTGCTTTAACAAATTGTAATTCAACAACCTGAAATAATTTAAAATTAAAGATTGCCCCGTTCCTTGTAGGCTCCTTGTTTATGACTTTTCCCAGACAAGTGTCATTGTTCATAAATAAGCCTCAAATATAAAAACACACAATTAAACTAAATTCAAAACATTGTCTTTTGCTTTTTTGTTTGTTTATTTGTTTGCATTTTTCTGCTGCTATGTTCTGTCATTCTATGCCTCTCTCCTGCATGCTTCTGTGGATTCTCCCCATCCCCTCACACAAATATCTTATGAAAGAAATCATATTTATGAAAAATTCCAAAGCCAATAAAAGGGGGGTTGAGAACAACCACTCCACAAAGCATTTTGGGGGCCCTTATAGGCTTTTCTTAGAACCCTAAACCTGCAATCCTACTTATGCAGAAATATATTTGAGTGAAAATAGAGGCGCTTCCTTCTGTATAATGCCCTCAGTCCCAAAGATTTGCCTGACAGGTCTTCTCAATTCTACATAATCAGAACATAAGAATATGTTATTTCTTTCACTATTAGAAAATAGTCTGCATATGTGAAAGGGTTCATGTAAGAATCTTGCAAGGGGAATAAATGGAGGGAGGTCGGAGTTTGGACCCAGAGGTTGTAGTGTGTGTACATCCAAGTCCCTATTGGAGTGCCAATGCTACCAGATCAGAGTACTGTAATATGTTTTTGGCTGGATTGCAGCAGTTCTAAACATGTATTCAGAATCTGAGTAAACCATGATGCCAGAGAGGAGGCACAAGCACCAGTGATGACTTAGAGCCTTCCCTCTACCTGAAATACTGGACATCCCCAAGAACGAAGCTTCTGGGACGATTCCAAAGTAACACCAATTCTGAAGGATTTGCACTGTCTGCCAGTACGCTCCTGGCCTGAGCTCAAAATGCTGACTATGACTTACAAAGCCCTAAATAGCTTGGGGCCTGGATCTTTGTAGAGCTCCTCTCTTTATATAAACCTGTATATAAACCTAATATCTGCTGGAGAGGCACTCCTCTGTGTTTCCACCATTGAGAAGAGCCCATTATATGGAGGCATGGAGGACAGCTTTTTTGTCCATAGTACCCCAACTGTGGAATGCCCTACCCTTGGAGAATCAATTGGCCCTGACATTGACATCATTTTGGTGCAAAGTCAAGAAATATTCATCTATTAGAGTGCACAGATTTTAGTGCAATACAGTGGACCCTTGACTTACAGACGGCTTGACTTACAGACTTTTTGAGTTACAGACTTCTCTGGCTGCAAAATTTAGGTTTGACTTGCAGACTGAGATTTGACTTACAGACCAGAAAAAAACCAAAATAGAACAAAAACAGCCTGTTATGGGATTAATCGGTTTTCAATGCACTGTAGGTCAATGGAGACTTGACTTACAGACTTTTTGACTTGAGAACCGCCTTCCAATACGGATTAAGTTCTCAAGTCAAGACCCCACTGTAGTTAGTCTTAATGTTTTTACCCTGTGTTGTTTGGTTTTAAACTGTTTTAAATATTTTTTTTGTTTTAAATTGTTTAATATAGCTTTGTAACCTGTCTTGAGATCTAGTGATATAGGGGAGCTATAAATGTTTAAATAAATAAGAATAAATTAATCCAGGACTGAGATGAAAAGATAAAGCATTAGACTCCAGGCCAAAGTCCTGTCCTTTTAAGATGTTCTACTTGTGCAAAGGTGTGGATCTCAGGAGGGGCCACTAGGCCTCAAAAGAACAAAAATTAAGCTTATATCCTTGCGAAACAACTTGTTTCCTCAGGGGACTTGCCAGGAGCTGTCACACCTAAACTGGCCATTTTGTGTCTGTGTACTCCTGCTACTCAGCCCACAGCCCAGATTCTCCATATGGACCAGGCCTAGATTCTGCATGATTCACATTAGATCCATTGGCTGGAGGCCCCTCTCTTGCTTTAAAAGAAGGGGTCCTTGCAGAGTTATACAACTGCAAATTGACTGCATACTGTGTGCTTTGCATGTTGAACACATAACATGTGCAGACCTTTTTCACAACCCGATATTCTATTACCAAATGTTGGATGCAAGTCGAATAAAGTTCACCTCAAGGTGAACCCCATCTCCAATAAGGGTAAACATTGTTCACACCATCATCTGGTTCTTCAAGGTCCCTGGGACTTAAAAGTCTCTAGAAATCTGTGCAGTCTCAGCTAATGTGAATATACAAGAACTCTAGCTATTCTTATGTTCTGGTTTTGCTTGATTTTTAAAATATCATTGTGGAATTGCCATGAGTTGTCAAAAAGAAGTCGATAGAGCAAAAGAGATTTTGAGCTATTCATGTTGGATGAGGAATGTATAGGAAGGTCTTCCATTAGTTTTTGAGTGATTCTTAACTGACAGAATTCCACAATTGATTGAGTTCGTGGAAGGGGAATTATAAGGGGAAATGATTCCAAGAGATGCCACACATCTGGTTCCATAACTATAGTTCTACCCATCCCTTTTCCTGAAACAAAGTGGTATGATGAAAATTGTGACTGGTAAGAATGCCATTAAGCACTTTGGGGGTAATTAGAAACATAACCTCTTTCCCAGTGGCAAAGAAGCCACAATGCTTGCAAAACCGCCAGTGAAAAGGATACTTTTGGACCAACAGATTGCTGCAAATGTTGTCCCTAAGGAAAGTCAAGGATGAACAGAATGTTTTGTTTCAGTGCTTTTAAAACAATACATATACTTTCTGTTTGATCTTGGAATTTACAGATTATGTGGAAGTTGGGGGAAAGTGTCTTTATCTAGGAAACAAGGAAAGTTTGGGGTTGGGGGAGGTTGGAATGCAGTCATCTAAAAAAAAGAAGAAGAAAAGAAACCACAGTGAGTGCAAGCATTAATTTCCTCACATGCAATTGTTTCTGAATAAAGAATAATAGTCAATATAAAACTTTTGATCCAGAATTGGTATTGGTTTCCATAGAAACTAGTCACAGGCTATTCTTTCCTAGCCGGAATAAGTAAGGTAGAGGTTTAAATATCTCCATAACAAAAGAACTAATTAGAACTGTAGAGTGGACAAAGAAAAGGGGGAATTCACAAGGGTCACAACTTCTCTGCAAAGGGCCATGTTTTGACATCTAGGCTGTTCAACATCTAAGAATCAAGCCAATATAAAAACATCATTCAAGGGCAGAATTCCGCTATATGACCCTGCCTGCCTATCAAGATCTGGATCTGATGCGTCCTCATAGTGATATCCCTCCACGTACATAAAGAGTTGGTAACTACGGAAGTTGGTAACTATCAGCATGACCCTTTCATTTGAAGCACCATTTTACTGAACTCCCTATGAAAAGAGACACATCTGACACTGCCTCTGTTTTCTTTTGAACACCAGAGCTTATCTAACTATCCATTAGGAAAGAGCAATAGGAAACACTTTATTCCACAGCAGATTGAGGGGTAGTTAGTGGATTGCAGGGTGCTGGTGAAGGAGGGGAAATCCTTTTTTATGCAAACAGAAGTTCATTCCTGTAATACTGGAGGTAGCTTCAGATGAAACTTTTCCAAGTTGCCCAGGCATTCTAATTGAGCATTATTTTATTTTATTTTTATTTAAAATTTATTTTCCCTATCCTGAATTTTAAACCTGTATCTTTATTGTTGTGATCAGCTGCTTTCCATTTATTGTTTTATAATGCTTGATGGATTGTAACAGATTTTATTGATTCTATTCATTGCATTCATGTCACTTTAGGGTGCTTGGCAGTTTCATGAGAAGGATGAAAATATCTAGAACAAACTTAAAATGCTATCACATTTATTTTAATATGAAATGGGTGGAATAATACAGTACATGGTTCCTTCATGTGGCTTTCTTCATACAGTGCCTTTTCAAAAGCAGCCAGATTTTTAGAACATCTCTAATGGTCACCACAGAATCTTAAAATCTTTTGATTTATTTATTTATGTATTTATTTATTTATGTATTTATGTATTTATTTAATATCCCACCCATCTATACCAAAGTCTACTTTGGGTAGCTAACAATATACAAGAATAATAAAATAAACAACAACATTTAAACCATAGAATAACAATAAATTAAGTATTGACAGGAGGGAAGGCCTGCCTAAAGAGCCAGGTCTTGAGTTGGCTCTTGAAAACACGCAGCAAGGGAACCAGACAAATTTCAAGGCAGGGGGAGATTGTTCCAGAAGCAAGGGGCCATGCAGCAAGGGAGCCAGACAAATTTCAAGGCAGGGGGGAGATTGTTCCAGAAGCAAGGGGCCACTGCAGAGAAGGCCCACTTTCTTATTCTTTCGCTTTGGGTCTCCCTTGGTGTTAGGCCCCTCAGCGCTTTGGGTCTCCCTTGGTTTTAGGCCCCTCAGCCGCCCATCCTGGCTAGAACGAGTGATTCGGGTAGATCTAGGTGGGAGGAGGTGTTCTGCCAGATATTGAAGTCCTAAACCGTTTAGGGCTTTATATGTCATCATCAGTACTTTGAAATCAATGCGGAAAGAAGCGGGCAGCCAATGCAGGACAACCAGAGATATGTTGGTGTTTTCTCACTCCAGTAAGAAGTCTGGCTGCCACATTCTGCACCATTTGAAGCTTCCGCACCAATCTCAAAGGTAGCCCCACATAGAGTGCATTACAGTAGTCTAATCACGAGACTACAAGCACATGGACCAGAGTGGTGAGTGCCCCAATATCAAGACACGGATGCAGCTGGACAATCTGCCCGAGATGAAAATAGGCAATACGGACCACTGACACTACCTGGGTCTCCATCGTGACCACCGGGTCAAGATGGGCCCCCAGACTGTGAACCAAATTCTTTGTGGTGAGAGTCACCCCCCCCCCAAAAGAGAGGGAGTTCCCCAAACCACTGACATCAGGACCACCCACCCTCAGGATCATTGCCTTGTCCGGATTCAGCTTCATACCATTCACCTGCATCCACCTCAGTACGGCCTCCAGACAGTGCTGAAGGGACGAAACAGCATCCACTGTTGTTGGAGAAAAGGAGATGTCGACCTGGGTGTCATCAGCGTACTGATGACACGAAGCTCCACATCCCTGATGACCTGACTCAGCAGCCTCATATAGATATTAAACAGCATTGGGAAGATAATCAAGCCCTGCAGAACCACACAATTAAGATTCCACGGAGCAGATTCACTCTCCCCATGCAGTACTCTCTGGGGATGGTCCTCCAAGAAGGATCGGAGCCAGGCTAGCAATAGACCACCGATTCCCAGCTCGGAGAGCCTCCCCAGTATCAATGGTATCAAAGGTGGCTGAAATATCAAGAAGGACCAACAGAGTCATTTTGCCCCTGTCTGCCTCCCTCAGCAGGTCATCAAACAGTGCAAACAGAGCCATTTCCATACTGAGGCATGGGCTGAAGCCCCACTGAAATGGATCCAGGGCATTGGTTTCATCCAAAAGGGCCTGGAGCTGGTCAGCCACCACCCTCTCCACCACTTTGCTGAGGAAAGAAACATTGGCTAAACATTTAGACTGTGTTTGCTGTCTGTAGCCTACAGATAAACAGTCTGGATAGCTCAATGAGTTAGGTTTCTGGCTGCGGAGCCAGAAGTTGGGAATTTGACTCCCCACTGTATCTGGAGCAGATTCACTCTCCCCATGCTGTACTCTCTGGGAATGGTCCTCCAAGAAGGATCGGAGCCAGGCTAGCAATAGACCACCGATTCCCAGCTCGGAGAGCCTCCCCAGTATCAATGGTATCAAAGGTGGCTGAAATATCAAGAAGGACCAACAGAGTCATTTTGCCCGTCTGCCTCCTTCAGCAGGTCATCAAACAGTGCAAACAGAGCCATTTCCATACTGAGGCATGGGCTGAAGCCCCACTGAAATGGATCCAGGGCATTGGTTTCATCCAAAAGGGCCTGGAGCTGGTCAGCCACCACCCTCTCCACCACTTTGCTGAGGAAAGAAACATTGGCTAAACATTTAGACTGTGTTTGCTGTCTGTAGCCTACAGATAAACAGTCTGGATAGCTCAATGAGTTAGGTTTCTGGCTGCGGAGCCAGAAGTTGGGAATTTGACTCCCCACTGTATCTCTTGGGAAAAGAGCCAGCCTGTGTGGCCTTGGGCAAGCTGCATAATCCCAGGATGCTGCCAAAACAAAGGAGGGGTAAAACATGTCTGAGTATTCTTTACCTAGAAAACTCTTTAAAAGGGTCACCATAAATCAGAATTGACTTGAGGAGCACATTTATGATGGTGGTGGTTAAAAATAACATAATAAACATACCTCAATCAGTCAATGTTTCAACTCTATCATTGTGAGGATTCCCATAAATTGTACGATGACAGTGGGTTGGATGTAAACATCTATGGGTTGCTACCTACAATTCATTCTTCTCTTTGATGCTATTTAAATAAACACATAAATATTATGGGAACAGCTATAACTGCTTCTACATATTTCCAGTTCGTAAAATTTCAGCACGGTATGGGAGCAGCTGCATATTCTGACCCAAAAGTATTTCAGTGACTGGCAAGGACCTCTTATTACCATGGTTGTATTGATATGCAAGATTATCTACATATACACAATGTTTTCTAAATGTACTTTGTAAGAGATCTACCCACATCACAGTGTCTGTATATTAAATTTAAGTGGCATGTTAAACGTTGTATGAAGAATACCCTCTCAAGCAATATAGATCACGGTAACCACAGTCCAGTGCACATTTCAGTTCCTGCAAAAAAAAATATGCAAACACGTGTGAATACATATGTAAACCCTCAAGAAATGTATTTTTAAAAAGCCCCAGAATTATGCCATCAATGGGATTTTTTTGATGTTTGGACTACAAACCCCATAACTCTCCATTCTGAGAGTTCCTCCTGACAGGTCCACTCTTAAATGGGTTTTGCTGGAAGAAAAGGCCTAGCTGAGAAGACGTTGTGGCCTAGCGTAGGTCTAGCTCTATTTTCCTATGCAGAGAGGAAGCTGCCCCACTGCTAACCAGGAGCTTCCTTTCTGAACAGGAAGCTAGGGTGGAGAAAGGCCTATGTTAGGCCACAAAGACTTCCTAGCTAGGCCTTTTCTCCAGATAAACCACATTTAGGTATCTGTAGGTGTGAGTCTGTTAGGCAAAACTCCCAGAATGGAGAATTGTGGGATCTGTAGTCCAAATTTTTTTAAAATCTCATGCCTAGGTGAGACCATTCCATGTCTGCAGAACTAATATTCTTGTTATCTTGCCTAACTAATATAATAGTTAGGCAAGATAACAATCAAATATTAACTTTTATAGAGTGGGAAAAAATCTGCCTCCGATGTCATAAAGTCACAGTGGTTTTGCTTCAACGATCAAGGGAAAGGAGGATTCACCATAACTTTGATTGCACTGAAATAGATCATGAAATGCTAACAATGGAAGCTCTGGTTCATCTTCAGGGCCCCCACATCCACACAGAAGCAGAGCTGGGTGATTACCCTTGGTTCATTAAACATGGCTGCAATCTGAGTGTCGCATGAGAGAGCTGGGTCCAGGAAAGTACCCAGATTCAAGCACCCATACAGCATCAACTTGCAGATAAAGGAGAGGCAGAGTTGTGTGTCATCAGCATACTGATGGCATTTCACTGCAAATCTCAGGATGGCCCCTGCTATTATTAAATAGCCCTGGGAAGTCTGATGACCCCTGGGACATTCATTAAGAATCCAGGGTGTCAACAATTCCTCCCCAAGCTGCACTTCCTGGACTTGATCATCGAGAAATGTAGCGAGCTAACCACCAACTCCCCAATTCCCACACCTGACAGTCTGTCCAAGAGGATATCATGGTCAAAGAGATCCAGGAGCACCAGCTTCCCTTAAAAAGTAATCTTGTTGTGCATCCAGTACTGTCTTGGTACCATGGCACTGTCTGAGCATGGAGTGGAAAGGATCAAGGCGATTCTCCTCCTCTAAGTACATCTGGAGTTGATCTGCCACCACTCCCTTTATAACCTTGCCTATGAAGTGATAGTGGCAATGGGTCTAAAATTATTTAGGGTTATGTAACATTTATACTCGCTCATCCCAGGCTGGACGTCTGAGAAGGCTGACCGCAAGAGAAGCCCAGAGAGAGAAAACTAGGAACTAGGGTGGTTGTTCCTCAACTTTGGAATCAATTCCCTCCTGCTGTCCACCTGGCCCCTTCACTTTAAAAAAAAAAACTGGCTATTTCTACAAGCCTTTTATCCCATTCCATCACTAGAAACCAATGAAACTACTAGCCATTAAGATCACAATGCTACCATTTTAAATGTTTAAATTTTCAAATATCTTACGTATGTTATTATGTTCTAGTATACGAGTATTTGTGTGTTTGTTTTCAATTAATACTGATGCTTTGGTTTATTGTGTAGGTTTGGTGCTTTGCCTGACTAAAGTTTTAAACTTCCCAGAGTGGCCTTTGGATAGATGGGTGGCATAATAAATAAATAAATAAATAAATAAATAAATAAATAAATGAATAAATAAATAAATAAATAAATATAATGTTTATATATTGGATTTATGATATTATATATTTATAATACTATATTTTATACTTATATTTATAACATTTATATTATAGATTTGTAATATATATTATAATGTTTATTTATTGGATTTATGCCTCATCTTTTCCTCCTTTCTCTCCAAACAGAGGCATTCAAGGTGGCTACCTCTATGATATAGGCATTGGGGTTCATGGGGTCCCTCTGAGTTGCTCTTTTGAAAGCAGATTCTTGGTTTGCACAGTTGTTAACACACCAGGCTAAATACATTGTACAGTATCACTTACATGTATTTGGCCCCAATTCCAAGCTGACAAAAAACACTACACTTCTGTGCAGCAAGTAAGCCACTATGAGAGGGGCCTGCAAACCTTGATGCTGGCGATCTCTAAGCTTGACTACTGTAACACTCTCTAGGGTGGGCTTCCCTTAAGGCTGACCGGAAAACTTTAGAGAATCTGGAACACAGCTGCCAGGTTGGTGTCAAATGTGAACAAGTTTAACCACACTCCCCTGGTCCTGGCTTACCTGCATCGGCTACCCATGGGGTTCTGGGCCAGGTTCAAGGTTCTGCTTCTTACTTCTAAAGCCCTTCACAGTTTGGGCCCTCATTACTTATCAGAGTGCCTTTGCCCAAAAATATCTATCCGTGCCACTCACAGTTGATGCTCCTACAGGTGACCACAGTGAAGGAGGTAAAAAAAAAAGGGGGTATCCACCAGAAATTCTGCTTTCTCGGCAGTGGCTCTAGCCCTCTGGAATGAGCTCCAGGTTAAGCTGTGCCTGGCCCCCTCGTTCTTTACCTTCAAGAGATTGCTTAATATTATGCTCTTTAAAGAAGCTGTTACTAGCAACCTCTAATGAATATATCAAATATGCCTTACAGTTTGACCACTCTTGCTGCCCTTAAGGTAGTGTTTTTGCTGTTTTATGGATTCTTCTGCTCTTATTTTTTTATTATTATTACTTCGTTTGCTATTTTATGAGTGTATTTGAGATTCATTTACGTATCCTTGTGTGTGTTATACAAAAATTGGGCTGCACTACATAGATCGCACGCACGCACGCACGCACGCACGCACAAACACACACATACACACACACACACACACACACACACACACATTTCTACGCTTTTCCCTCTTTATGTGTGTCTCAGGAAAACTTGTGCATTCTGCGCTATCCTTATTGGAAGCAGAACCTCCTTGAGGAATTAATAAGCTGAAGTTACACCTCAGTGGGAAATCAGTGCATATAAATTAATGAGAATGTACTGCACATACTGGTGAGGAAAGTTGCTCATTGTACTCTTGAGCTCATCCAAAAAAGATTTCTGTATGACTGCAAGCTTTACTGAGCAAGCGTTAGGAGCATCCATTTATAATAGGAGACAGTGTCACCCTGCGTACAGAGGCTCAAATGGTGCCCACCGGTCATTGACTTTTCACCTCTAGCTCTCCACTAATGCCCTTATTAGTTTTTTTCCCCTCCAGCTATTAGAGACAAATATTGTGCAGTGAATATGCTGCTTACTGAATTAGAGGCTATGTGCCTCTTAAACAACAGTTGTACCACACCCAGGAATAAAGAAATGAGATATAATTCACTGGATAAACTAGGGTCACAATATATTTAAACATCGTCACTTAGTTACACACCAGATATACAAAAATTTAACTGAGAAATATTCAAACAAAGTAGCTACTTTACGACTGTATGTGAGCTAGCCCTAGTACTAGACCTATTTTATTTACTTACATTTATTTAATTACCTCCGACAAGGTAAGTTTTCAATGGTTTTCCTTTTCTCTTCCCCCTTCCTCTCTCTGTCTCTCTTCACAGGTCCTGTGGTGACAATAGGGCCTTTGACTCCGCTTCACTAGTAACTACAAGAAGGAGAAAGAGAAGTTGTTGTCAGCTGCCAGGGAAGAAAGGGGCCAGCTGTGTGTTTAGAAGAAGGGAGCTCCATAACCCTAGGACAGGGGTGGGCAATTAATTTCTATAGGGGGCCACATGAAAAATCTGAACTGTGTTAGGGAGTTAACTATTTGAGTGTTGTAATTCGTTCCCTGCAAGGGGGGGGGATTGACACTGAGCTAACTCACCTGTCCTCTGTTCCGCTGCGGCCTTCCTCTCCATCTGTCTTCTATCCCGCACAGGTGACGTGATGCATCATCACATTGCCTGCGCAAGGATCGCTTCCAGCCTCTTGAGCTGCAGGCTCCACATCCCGCGGCTCAAGAGTAACAGTCAAAACTCGCGAGATCCCAGCATCGGATCTCGCAAGTTTGCTTACTGCCATGCTGAGTGACTGGAGCTGGGGCTCTGGCTCACTCAGCAGCGATGGGCGGGCTGGACAGGAGTGGCTTGTGGGCCGTATGTGGCCCACAGGCCACACTATGTCCACGTCTGCCCTAGGAGCATCCACAGAAAACCCTTTCTCTCAAGTCCTCACCAGATATGTTTGTGAAACTGATGGGAGCCAGAGAAGGCAACCCCATGAAGGTTGTCCTAACAGATGGATCTGTGAATGAGTGAGTGAAAGAGATAGTGAATAGTGAACACAGGTTTCACTTCTCCTCCCCCTTAAAAGTGGACAGCAACAAAAATGACATAACTAAGATCCTAGGGTCGAGAGAGACTCCTGGCTTCCACAGAACTCCCCAACTGCTTTAGAATTTTCTGCCTTGTTTTTCTGTATCTAACCTGCCACGGCCTCCATCAATAAACACTCTTCTGTCCAGGTTCACAGTGTAGCAGGGCAGGAGCATACCAATGGAAGCAAGCCATTTTGGCAGGCATGAAATTCCTTTTTGACCGAAACACAACTTAAATTGCAGGATGATGGCTTTTGTGAAGAGAGGGAAGAGAGGAGAAGCCTTTTAAAGACCTTCATAATCCCTCCCTCACATCATCTAGCTGGCATATCTCTGCATGCTGCTGTGTGTGATAGTGCCCTTCTTCCTCCACCCCCTCACCATATACCCTGCCAGCTCAGTTGGTTTATGGCCCCCTGCTATTTCTCTTTTCCTACCTGTCCAAAGGCACCTGCATCTACTTGGATCTCAGGTGATTCTTTGCATTTCCTCTCTGTATGTGTTCGTGTGAGAGAAAGGAACAGTCACAAAATTAGATCAGATTGTCTGTGAAAGGGATAGTTTTTTTTTTCAACATTCTAGCCAATTTATTTTAGTTAGTGCATGGCAGGAGCTAGATATATTCCTGTAGTCCTAAAAAACTTTTTTTACCATACTTTTGATCAACTTGTTCATTTTGGCATTGACAAGCTAAGCAAATCAAATTCAGAACCAGGCAGCAACAATAACATGATACCAGTCTGATATCCTGGAACAGTGAAACCTCTACAAGTGCACCATACAGAAGTAACTTAGTGAATGCAATCATTTATACACTTAGGGCAATGCCTCCAGCAGTTGC